CAGAGGTATAAATATAAGGCCTACTCTGCCCGGGACTGTCTCTTCAGACTTGGTCTCTTAGGATCATCCACAGGTACCTATACTGTAGATAGGTCTTAGTCATCAGGTCTACTCCACTTCCTTGTTGCCTGCTTAGACTCTTGGCACTCTTAGGTGAGCAGACTTAGTCAGCCTGTGTTGCCCTAACACGCCCACAATCACAAATGCTGACTTCACTTCCATCCTCATATTCTGTGCACTGCCAGCTTGGAAGACTTCAAAACAAATGAGTGGATCTTCTCAAAGCAGAATGGCACTGCTCCATTGTTCCAATACACATCACATTTCCACTGACGCATGGCACTGCATCTTTTCTGGGATCATTGGGATCAAAATTGCAGGGCTGCTCTTGGTATGTGATGTGATGTTGCATTGTCACATTGTACAATGCTCATTGTCAATATGCACAGCTGACTTCCTCTACAGCAACTATCAGCAGGCTCTGAAGATTCTTGAAGATGAACTTCCGTCCCTCTGGCTCTACCAAGCTGAGACCAGCATCAGCAACCATGATTTTCAAACCTTTGTGGAGCAGGAGCACAAGTACTTTGACAGCTTGCAAGAGGAACCAGAGGACAAGCAGATGGAGGACAGTTATCTCGAGGCCTTACAAGAGCTCCAAGCCCATATGTCAGTGTCTACTTCATTGCATCAATGTTTGCACTGATGCATTGTTGCAGTGCCAAGCTCCAGGACTTCTGCACCTTTGTCAACCTCACTCCAGCAATGTGGAATGCAATGCCAGCTCACATCCAACAGTGACAACTCCAGCACAACCATATTGTCATGCTCTGGGTGCAAGAGCATCTTAACAAGCTGGCTGTCCAGTACAAAAATGTGCTGGACACACCTTGCTGGATGCCTGACTCCGTAGAATGGCAAGAGACTGAGCATCAAGCTCTATACTGCCAGTACAACCAAGCACTCAATCACCTTGAGAGTCTTGTTGTTCAGTGCCTCTTTGAGCTGGAAAAATTCAATTTGAGGGGAACCAGTATGCATTGTTCCATTGCAGCAATGAAGCAATGCTCATTGATTTCTAGGCTATGCAATGCAAAGAAGCATTGCAAAAGCTATGGACAAGCGCTGCAAGTCTATCAAGATGGCATTGGAGAAGTACAATATGCTCACAGCTGCATTATGTCCTCCCCAGCCTCAGCTCAGCTATCAGACAGTTGTCAGCATGACCTGGGTAGCCAACTTCTTGCTCTTGTGCTACTCAAGGAATGATGTACAACACCAAAAATGGGTGGACAAGCTCATATGCAAGATGACCGTCAAATGGCTGTATGTGCAGTGCACAAAGGCAGAGATACAACACATCAATGTGGAAGTTTGTGGCCTATGGTCGGCACTGCACAATGAGCCTCTTGCATCACAAGAGGCTATATCTACAGAGGAAAGACAAGGAGCTACATTGCTCAGTGCTGCAATGAAACAGTGCCTCACAGAACACTTACAGGTCAATGAACTGCTGAAGAGGTGCATTCAACAAATTTTCTCTCTCCTGGGATTCAATGGGAATACATCAGTTGGTGTCCGAGTGAGCAATGCTGCATCCTGCAACAATGCCAGCACTGCTCCTGCCTTTCCACCTCTAGAAGGTGAGGAGTCCTTGACACATGATCTTGGAGATCAGGACAATTCTGAGTCAGATGACAATCTGGACAATGATGTGATTAATGAGCTCAGTCAGGTGGAACAGGCTTTTGCTCAGCTATCTGTACCACAGGAATGGAGGACTTTGTATCAGTGCACATGGTAGCAATGGGGAACATTGTAATTGTCAGTAGTCAACTAGAATGAGCAGTGCCAAGCCAGCATTTCTTTGCACTGGGTGACTCAATGCTCAAAAGGGAGAACCAATTCTAGACCAAGAACCTCTGCATTCCAGAAGATGTGAGACATCACAGGCAATGTGGTATTGGTGCAATGCAACATTGTGTGACAGAACGAAAGAACAATTTTGCTTTAAAAAATTCATCTCAATCCAAGCTTCTCCTGCAATTTTACTGCAGGAGAAGGTACAGAACTCTGCTCTCCAGGAGAATGTCTGTTCTTGCCAATCTCTGGGAAGAACAAAGTGGGCATATGTGTCTGCGAATCAAGGGTTCAGTTACTTTACTTTATTGTATGGATTGGCAAAATGCAGACTTCTAGATAGGGGCAAGATAAGAAGCATTGGATCCTTGCTCAATGCTCAATGCTCCCCAAGTTCCCCAGGCATCTTGCAGGGAAGTCTTCCAATGAGATAAGGATGTTCCATGCATGGGAACAACAGCGTTCATGAAAGCACTTTCCTCCCTATCTGACAGTACATGCTATGCTGGATTTCTTCTAAATGCATGAGAAGCGCGGAAAAAATTGCAAGGAGCACATATCTAAAATTTACTATGACAAGATCCATCACTGCTCAGATGTCAGATATCAGGACATTGGAGCAATGCAACATTGTTAGCATTGCTGCAATACACCATTGTTCTGAACATGTGATGAATACATCAGGTCCAGATGCATCTACCAAGTGCATACATCTTGCCTCATGCCCTCCTCCATCCCCATACCAACCATCAGCTCTGCCTCATTGTTCCCACAGTGTCTCATGCTAAAATGGCCCCAAGCAAAAGCAGGAAACGCCCCCTTCCCATAGACAACAATGACAAGGAGATGGTTCAGCAGCCTCCCCCAAGACGTGCATGCATCAACAGTGGCAACTTGGGCAGTGCAGGCAATGCAGGCAATGCTGGCAATCCATCATTGTCTCCCAATCCCAATGCCTACTTCCCCAACAATGACATGGCAAAGGAGGTTGCTTGTAAAATCTTCAACTGCTGTGCTCCATCCCGTGGCTGAGGTCCTGACCTCAATGAAGTTCTTGACACACTCTATGGTCCTTCTGGCAACTATGCACCCCATCACTCCAGCCACCTGTCAACAGTGAGCAATGCTTTGTCCACTGCTGGCTCTGCCCCTCCTAGCTGCACTGGCAGCAGCAATGCTGGCAATGCTGGCATGGCTATTTGTTCCCCACCTGCTCAGAGCACCTCCCAGTGGGAGAAGGAGCTGAGCAAGCCTCCTCCTGGGTATGAGGAGGATGAAACCTTCAGGGCGAGGCAGGAAGAGGCAGATGCAGAGATGGCGAGGGAGATGCAGGACTTTCTGGATGGGGGTGGGGTTCTTGAGGAGGATATGGTGAAACCACCTCCTGTGCAGGCTCCAACAATGCCTGCTTGGGACAAGGAGAAGGACTTTTTTGATGTGTTGTTGGAAGTGGAAACCTGTGAGTTGGACAATGAAGCATTGTGCATTGTACACTGACACAATGCTGCAATGCAGACTCCCCTGCCGAGCTCCAGGCAATCTACAAGCTCAAACACCCCAACCCCTACATTCCAGCCAAAGCAATGCACAATGCTCAGCCTGAGTCCAGAGTTGCTCCCACCTACAGCAAACCAACAATGCTCCCCACCTTCACTTTTGACTTTCAGCAATACATGCATGGCATTGAATGCAACAGCCCTATCCACTTTGGTCCTTACCAGCTGGTTATGTGTAAGAAGCCTGATGATTACTCTGATGAGGTCAAGCACATCAGAAATGCACCAATTGACACTGCTGCATTGCTTGAGGATGGGCTTGATGTGCCTGGTATCAATTGCTACCCTCTGGCCGAGGCTTTCTGCCATCACAATAGGAGGTGGATCTTCTGGAATGTCTATTTGCATGACCTGTTTTGCATGGTATGTGCAATGCGGCAATGTACAATGCTGACACATGTATGCAGCTCACTTTTGCTGACTGCCTCTTTGGCAACACTGGCATAGTCCTTCTCATTGGCCAGTATGACAATGGAGAGGACATTGGTGCCCAGACCTCCCTCTTCATCAGCCACAACCACTGGACTGAGAGCAACAAAATTGATGCCATCTCTAACATGAAGGTGTTCAAGTGTATGCTCTCGCTGAAGGCTACTGTTAGGGCAACACAGGCTGACTAAGTCTGCTCACCTAAGAGTGCCAAGAGTCTAAGCAGGCAACAAGGAAGTGGAGTAGACCTGATGACTAAGACCTATCTACAGT